TATTTTGAAGAATATTTCCACTGGGTATAGAATTTAGGTTGCTAGGTTTTTGGTGTTTTTTTTTTTTAATTTGTAAGTAATTTTAGAATTTCAAAGATACTATTACATTGTCTTATGGCTTTCGTTTCTTTTTTTTTTATAAAAATTTTTAATGTTTATTTATTTTTGAGAGAGAGACAGTGTGAGTGAAGGAGAGGGAGACACAGAATCCAAAGCAGGCTCTAGGCTCTGAGCTGTCAGCACAGAGCCTGATGCAGGGCTTGAACCCACGAACCATGAGATCATACCTGAGCCAAAGTTGGATGCTTAACCAACTGAGCCATCCAGGTGCCCCAGCTTTCATTGTTTCTGATGAGAAATCAGCTATCATTTTATTTTTTTTCAGCTGTCATCATAGAGTTATTCCCCTGAATGTAATGTGCAGTTTTTCTCTAGCTATATTTAAGTTTTACCCTTTTTGGTAATCTAACTATCATATGTCTAGGAGTGGTTTGTGTTTTTTCTGACTGGGATTCACTGAATTTCTCAGATCTGTGAGTTTGTGTCTTTCATCAATTAAAGAAAATCTCGTCCATTATCTCTTTAAATATAGAAGAGACAGTTCTATACTTTATTATCTCTCTTTATTTTGCCCCATTCCTTCAATTCCTTAGAGTCCTAAGCTCCATTAACATGTATTTTTAACCAATTTATAGTTCCACACATCTTGGACATTGTTTTATTTTCCATTCTTTCCTCTCTAATTTGGATAATTTCTAACGAAGTATCTTCAAATTAACTGATCCTTTATCTTCTGTATCCATTATGCTGTTAAGTCTATCGAATTTTTCATTTCAGATATTGTATTATTTTTACTTCCAGAATTTTCCTTCTATTAATTTTTTTATAGTTCCCATTTCTCTGGTGAGAATTTTCATCTACTCACCTGTTCTGTCCATCTTTTCACATTTTTTTCATAAATTGTTTTTTATATTTATAAAAAGTCTTAAAGTTTTAAAGTCTTTATCTGCTAATTCCAACCTCTAGGTCATCTGTTGGTCTGCTTCTATTCACTTTTTTCTTGATTATGTCTCATATTTCTTGGCATATCTAGTGGTTTTTCACTGTATACTTGACATTGTGGATGACAACACTGTAGAAACTCTGGATTGTGTTACCTTTCTCTATAAAGAGCAGACATTTGCTTATTATTCTGGTAGGCAGTTAAATTTGTGGCAGATTACTTTGATCCTTTGGAAGGCTGGTTTTAATCTTTGTTAAGACAGCTCTGCTTTGGGTTGCCTGGGAGGCTCAGTTGGTTAAGCATTTTACTATTGACTCAGGCTCAGGTCATGATCTCATGTTTCCTGAGTTTGAGCCCCATGTCAGGCTCTGTGCTGACAGTGCAGAGCCTGCTTGGGATTCTCTGTCTCCCTCTCTCTCTGCCGCACACACTCTCTCTCTCAAAACTAAATAAACTTAAAAAAACAAACAAACAGGTCTGCTTCGGTTTTCTTCTTTGCTCCAGAGTATACTCTCCTGTATCATGCATATTTAAAAGTTTTCATGTATTTTGACATATTTAAAACTTTTCTATCTGGGGAGAGACTGCCCCTTCCAGGGCCAGCCAATTGTTAAGATGCCAAAAAGCTCGTCGGGAAGCATGCCTCTGATCTGCAAACTAACCAGTCTGGAGCCAGAACTCCCCTATCTGGCCCCTGCACCCAGGAGGCAGTATTCTTCTGTCTTCGTTTCAGAGCCAGGGGCATACCCTACAGCTTAGGGCCTGATGGAATTATTCAACCAGGCCAGTCCTAGGCTGTCTGCCCTGCCATCTTGCCTTTCTTTCCTACAGAAATCCCAGTAAAGGTCTCGATTTCCACTTTCCCCTTACTCCTGATGATTCTGGTGCTTCCTTATGTGGCCCCGCATGGCATTGTGCCTCCCATTTCTGGGACCCATGAGCATAGTAAACTTGTTCTTTCCTGAATCTCTCCTGCATGTCCTCTTGTGGCTGCACCTCAGTGAGCATCACAGAAAAGAACACAGAAGACTCTTAGCCTGAAATGTGACCAATACCCCAAGGGGTGTCCCTTCTGGGAAAGCCACAGTGTCTATCAAGCCCTTCGCACTCGATGGAAATCGAACTCCAAACTGTCTCCAGCACTGGGCAGCCCGGGACCTCCTCAGCTATTCAGCTTTCCAGCTGCTGATTTCTGGGTGCGGGGGTGGGAGGGGTGTAGTTAAGAGCCAGCCAAGACTGAAATGTCTTTGCGCAAACTCAGGTGAGAGGTCCAGTCTGGTGCATCCCTCCCTTCTGGGATTTTCTCTTCAGTTTCCAGCCCTCTGGTAGCATCAACCTCCAAACTCTCTCTCTTTATCTTGGTAAAATCGCCACATTTTGCTTGACCCTAGTGTCACGAGCCCTGAGGGGGCTGGGATGTGCTGTCGCGGAGAAGTCAGATGAATGTGGCTAAATGGTATCCGCTGGTTTGCTTCCTTTATTTCAACGATTGTGTCCTTCCAGCTTCTGTCTGCTTCCACTTGCTGCTGCTGCCTTCACACTATTGTTCTTCATATTTGATATAGAGTTTATCATTGTTATTAGCAGGAGGGTTTGTCCAACCGAGGCAACTCTGCCATGGCCGAAAACAGATTTTCCAAAATATTTTCCTGATATGCAAATGAGTCCACATCAAATGATGTGGAATCAAAATCAGAAATCCTTACAAATTGAGAAAGCCATATTTTCTCACTGTTGTTGTAAAATAATTTTGGTCACCTCTACTTCCTAGTATCCGTAAATTACAGAACTCTAATAGTTGTAATTGAGTGGACACTCTGTACTTGGAGAGCAATGAAGCAGAGTGATCGGTTCCTCGCACACACCCTCCCTTCCCTGTGTTTAATGGACGTAGCATCACACAGAACTCCTAGTGGTTCACTTGAGCGACAAAAACAATTTCTATAAGCTTGTCTGGGAAAGAAAAGTTACTTTTCGACACTTTGATATTGGAACCAATATTGAAACTGATGGGATTCCTTACGTTGTCAATAAAATGACAGATAGTTAAAATGAAAGAACCAATTTCTGCTCCCAAAGCTCGCTCAAATCATGTTTTCCTCAACGATGGCTGGGCTCGAACAGCTTCC